TGTCGTCATCACGTCACCTGCCTAAAGGCGTGATTAGAGGTGGCTTCAGCCAGGACACGCAGGGGCGTGGTTCCCATACATGATGTTGTACCTCGTTCCTTTCCTTCAGGGAACAGTAGTTATATGCATAACATTACGTTTTGAGTAATGAACCAGGCTGGGAGTTTTTAAAAGCCTCAGGAATCTTTTGCAGGTGTTTAGAGTTAATTTGTTGATTCAGATGATTAATAAGGTTAATGACTCGTTTAGAGAACCTTTTCATGATATAATTTTTTGAGATAGGGATTTTTGGTTTTTCTTTACTTTTTTGCCAAAATCATCAATATTAAAACAATAAAAGGCTTGAACTACTTCAGTTGGTGTGCAATGAATCTAAAATATATTAAAAGTTTAATGTTTATCAGTACATTACAGAAAAAAATTAAATTTATCACAATATGCTAATTTTTTGAGAAGGACCTGTATTTTGCAATGCACTCAGTGCCAGGTCATGTTTGTAAATGAGAAGTGGTTCTCAAACAGTTTACCTGGATAAATAAAGGTTAAATAAATAAATAAAAAACTCCATGTGTAACACATTTTGTACAGGTTTTTTTTTGTCTTCTTATGGCTTATTTTATTTTATTTATTTATTTATGTTGTGCTGACAACTGTGACCTCAGTATCTATCTTTCATTCCTCATGTAGAACTCATTTGGAATGAAAATCCTTGAATTCATGATTTAACCTCATTATTCTGCACAAAATTTAACTGACTCAAATATGTTTGGAGCATTTTTTAGGTCCAGATTTTTGTTGTTTTTGAGCAATGGAGGTGATATTTTCATGATTTATTTTTGTATGTTTTTCTTAAGCACCAATTTTTTTCAAAATAAAAGACATTAATTAATAACTTAAGTAACTTATTTTACCAATATGCAATAAAGTTTTATATTAAGTTTAAGATTAACCATGATTAATTCACAGCTACGTTGGAATTAATAAATTAAAAATTTTAATCATTTGACAGCCCTAATTTTTATCAGATTCTGAACACTTTTGTCTCAGGCAGGTAGGGAAAAACAAACAAACTTAGAATAAGACCAAGAAAAGCAGATCTACCAGATCTGTCAGTGCCATCTGGTGGCTCCTGATTCTCATCACACGCCCCGTAGAGTCTGGGCTCACTGTCCTCTCTCCTCTTCCTCCTGTCATCAGCTGATGTTTTCTTCTCCCAGCTTGGACGCTGCACCTCCTCTGCTCTCTCCTTTCGGTCTCTGATATCATCAGTTGGCCGTGCTTTTCCAGACGATTCGTCTTCTCGCTCATCACTGTCCAGGGTGAAGCCAAAACTCTGGGCTGGTCTGGGAACTAAAGAAAGAAAAAGAAAAAAAAAAGAGCATCGCACATCGTGAACCAAGCACAGCTGAGACAAACTCTTCTCATTCATCAAAAGGGCCAAATGAGCAAACAGCAGCTTGATTCTTGTCTTCCCTCTTAAGAACTTTAATATTGTTACCAACATCATGTTGAAACAAAAGACACCTACAAACGTTTCACTTTCATAGTAAAGCCCTTGTTTTTATATAAACACATTTCTGGAGTCCGAGTATGCCAACAATTAAAAAAGCAACAACGTAGGTGGAAAACTACTCATTTATAGATACATACTGTATAAAATGTTTGCATACATTATGCAGTGTTGTATATAGTACCTCAAAGTGATACTTGAGTAAAAGTATAAGTATCATTCTTATCATAAAAATACTTTGGTAAAAGTTAAAGTCTTCTCTAAAAATATTACTTGAGTAAAAGTCTTAAAGTATCTGATATTTTTTGTACTTAAGTATCAAAAGTAAATTTCTGACACAAAATCTACTTAAGTTTTAAAAGTAAAAGTACTGAGTAAAAGTGAGCAGTTAGATTTTACTAAATGACATTTATTGGGAGGTGACTTCTCCAAAACATATTTTTTCTAACGTGTGCAGCTGTGATGGGTTGTGTACAAGTTAACAGGGTGTCAGAATGGTATATATTTATACTTCTCATCCAAACACAATTAAATTCACTCTATCCAGGAGACACTATTTATCAAGATAGTATTTTTTAAGTAACAACTCGAAATAAAATCGGAGTAACGACTTTTTACTTCTTACCTTTTTAAAAAAAATGTAGTGAGTAGAAAGTACAGATAATTGTGTAAAAATGTAAAGAGTAAAAGTAAAAAATACACTGAAAAATAATTACTCAAGTAAAGTACAGATAACCAAAATTTCTACTTATGTACAGTAACAAAGTATTTGTACTTAATTACTTTACAACTCTGACAGTATGAACCTCATTTTTTTTAAAGATTTTAATTTAGTCAATATCTACAAGAGATTTAAGATTTAAAATAGCTTTACCACACCAATGTTATATAACTTTACTGTCGTACATCATTTATTTTTAGCCTTGACTGCTTCTGTTTAGGTCTCGAATGCAACCTATTATTATTATTACCTACGTTACTGGCCCTGAAGAAAAAAAAACATAATAACTAGGGCTGGGCAATGTGACCTCAAATTCATTTCACGGTATAAACTGTACCCCTTCACGCTAACAGTATATATTGCGGTAGAAAATTCTCATAAAAAGTAAAGATAATGTAATTTTCAGAGCATTTTTTGCAGAAAACTGTAATCTTAATCAAACCCAGCATTTTTTCTTTAATATCTGCCTGTCAAACAATGAGCTTCAGCCTGCTGAACTTATCAGCTGCAGCTCTGCTGCGCGCTCATCTTCATCTTCTTCATCATCAGAGCAGAAGCCGACTTTACATTAGCAAGATGGATTTATGACTGAATGAACATCCACGTCTTTTTTTATAATCATCTCTGTGAGTAACAATACTTTAAAGAACAAGTTTTTTCTACGACAACAGCCTGTATGCCACGGTCATTAATGACGTATTTCTGGTAAAATTCTTGCCACGCTCCTCCCTTCCACTTCCTGCTTACTGCCTTTGTTTTTACTGTTAGCTGCTAGTACTAGTCCGTGAAAAAGTCACAAAAGTTAAAGCATCTGTGAGCTACCGGTATAAAATGTGAGTTCTGTTGTGTGTCGTTGTGTCCACTAACCAGCAGGTACGATAGAGTAGTTAGTTTTTCTCCTTTTTCCTCTTGATGAGGAGGTGACAGCAGAGGATCATAGCATTACAGGGAAAACTTATCTTTAAAAGCTCACGCTTGTGTTTGTAATCAGCATTTCTAACCTGAGGATATTCAAGAGTCAGCATCAGAAATGAGAAGATGGAGGTTACAAAAGGGAAATGTACATTTATCCCCTTTTACTGCCAAGACCGAGAGAGGAAAGACCTCCTTCACACGACAGCTAGCAGGAAGCTAACACAGCAGCCGGTACAAAGGTAGGTGTGTGCGTGAGCACGCTTGTTATATGAAATGTTTTTATGCGACTTTGTCATGAGTTTTATGCAAAAGTAAAAACTTGTTAGAGTGTATATTACAACGTAGACTAAAGCCGAGTGACGAAATTTCTACTGTAGGCCAACTTCATACCGTTTCTACCGTCTACTGCATATACCACGCAGCCTTAAGTGACTCATACATTCACATTAAAAGGGTTTTGTGATATTTTCCCCACGAAGAAGCCAAATGATTGGGAGCCCGTGATTTTACATGTCTTCATTTCTTGTTTCAGAGGATGGATGTTAATGAAGTCTTCACAAAAATGAATTTGTTTTGTGACACATAAAAACCAGTCGATCCACTAGTCCTGCTCCATAACGCAGGCTCTTAGGAGCATTTTTGTAGAAGAAATTAGTTCTGGATTATTGGCAACTTTTTGAGTGTTTGTAACATTTCTGGGTTTTATGCATACCGTCTGAATGTTTGGTCCTCTCCATTTTGTCGAACTCTGGTTTCTGCGAAGGAGACTCTTTGGCAGGCTTGGAAATCTTCTCAATTTTTCCTATTAACTAATATCAAGACACAGACAAATTAAAACCACTCAAAATTCACAAAATGAATGCCTGAACACAACCATTGTGTTATTGTTGATTTGACCATGACGTGATGTAACATAAAAACATACTGAAGTGAATAAAAACTGTACCTTTGTGGGTTTGCTGCTGCTCTTCTCTAGAGTCGGAGGCCTGCGGGGAGCTCGATCTTTGGCCTCACAGTTCAGCAGGAACTTTTCAAACAGGTTTGTTGACCCGCTAGCATCCTTCTGTCCTAACATCTCCTCTTTAGTAGCTTCATCCTCCTTCACCTTGTTGGTACTCACAGCTGTAGAGGAGGAGGAGGACGAAGAGGAGGAGGAAGAGGTTTTTTGTGGTCCTGATGAAGTCTCGTTTCCTTTGCTCTTAGCTTTTTTATGTAGTGTTGAGCTATCACTAGAGTCTGATTGTGGAGCAGTGTCCTCCTTGTTTTTAGAAATGTGACTTTTGAGTTTTTGCAGGCTGGCTTCCTTCTGGGTGCTGTCACCTTTTTTAATCTTTTTCTCAACCATGAGGTTCTTAATGCCCTGCAGCTTCACCTCCCACTTGCCCTTTTTCTGTTTAAACTTATCATCCAAACTCGCCTTTTCCATGGGCTTTGTTAAAGTCTCTGCTGACCCAGAGTCCTCCATTTGAGATTCTGACGGACCGTCACTCAGGTTTTCTTCCAGAGGAGCAGCAATTTCATCTTCAGATGTCTCAATCTTTCGCTCTTTTTTTGCCTTTTTCTTCTTTCCCTCCTCTCTTTTGTCCTTATGCTTTCCAGCCTCTTTCTCCTTCTCCTTTTTGTGCTTTTTGAAAGGAAAAGGCTCGTCGTCATCTTCGTCAGAGTCAGCAAAACGCTTTTTTATTTCTGACTTTTTCTCCTTGGGAGGAGAGGGTGGGGTCGGGGCTCTCTCTTCTTCGTCAGTTTCTGGCGCCGGAAGAGGTCTCAACACATCTCTGTGTTTGTCTTTCTTTTTCTTCTTTTTCTCCTTTGGAACTGGCTCTTCCTCCTCTTCTTCCCTAATTTTCTTCTTTTTCTTCTTCTTCTTGATGGGTAATTCAGTCGGACGTTCTTTTTCACTGTCGCTCTCCGAGTCTGCGTCAAACACGTCACTCTTTGTTGGCAACACTTTCTGAAAAGAGACATGCAAAGTTGCAATAAGCAAAACTTTTACTCATTTTTTTAAAAGGAGCACATCAGTGAAGATAAATCCCAGTGCTGTTCATCTAAATTTGAACAATTACTCTTAAGATATGAGAAAAACAAAAATAAAACAAAATCTGACCTGCTGTTTAAGTGAAATATCTTTTACAAACAAATAAATCACATTTAAAACAGAAATTTATACAAAAAAATCCACTGAAGTTTAACTCCTGTTAAAAATGTTTCTCAGAAACAACAATGTTCCTGGGTCAGTTTGACCTGGGATGTATTTAAATACACAAAATCACAAAAATAAACAACTATATATTATTTATAGCTTATCTCATCCATTATTATTTCAATTAACATTTAGTGCAACAGTGTTCTTCACTTCTCATAGATCATGGCTTAGAGGACAACTAGCTAGTTTTGCATAAAAATATTTTTTTAAACTTTTTATGTACAGGGGTACATAAAAATACAGTAATTTTATATTCCATTTTTGTATCTAGAGTGAAAAATTATAGCTCAATTTATAAATATGTTCAGGGTCAAACAACCCACTGACATCAAATCAAGACAAATGTACCAAAAGTAAACTTTATTTAACTGCAATCTATAAACCAAAGATTAGCTATACAAGCATTGTATAGCACTCCGTGCGCGCGTTCCAAAGCGCGACTATAAAACTCAGCCTTTACTGTCTCCTTGTACAGCGGGGAAGCGCTGTGGGAAAGGGTGACAGTCAGACTGTCTTTACAAAAAACAACAACAACAACAAAAAAAAAACCGTAAAGCATAAACGGGATGATTGTGTCACCCCGCCGGAGCGTGCACAGATTAAACACGTGGAGTGCGGAAAAAATAATCTGCAAAGTGTGTAGAAAGGAATAAATACAAACAATTTCTTTTACCACCTTAAAACAAAGCAGGTTATTCCAAACACAACATCAAATGGATGCAGATATGTATTACATTAAAGTTATTGTGTGTGTTTACACACACACACACACACACACACACACACACACA